CTACTGGTTGTGCGGCAACTACTAGCTTGCCACCGCCAACTCTAACTGATTAATCACTTCTCAATTTGCCTCTTCTGTTCAACTCGACCTTCAAGCAAGACATCGACTGCAGCGCCACACTGCCCCTTCGACTCCACCTCCGACTCGCCATCACCTCCGACCTCGACTCTCTTCGTCAAGGCCGCCAACGACTGCTTCCTTCGTTTGGCAGGCCCAAGATCGTCATAACAGTAGCCTATTTGTCCAGCAGTCGTTGAGTGTTGGTGAGTGTAAGGCGGATTGGCTGCCTAGAGAGGAGGGTATCTTGGTGTGGTGAGGCAAAACAGACAATAGGAGAACAAAACAGGCTGAAAATCGCCAGTAACGAGCTACATCAATCGTCTCCATTAGTAAATTTTGTGTACTGCTCCGAGCTAAAGGTACGCGGATCCATTTTTGTGATCCATTCATGGATAGGAATACCCGTAGACAGGAATAAATTGGGGAATCACAGCGATATGACTGCCGAAAGGGTCGTCTGTTTACATGAGGTGCAACTGCAAACTCATTGGCTATAAGGTTTAATCGTAACTGGCGAGGGCATTTTCGCACAATGACAATTCGGAAAATGAAGTGTGCTCGAAACCAAGTCGCATTTTCCTTAATGCCGTGATCTAGACATCTATCGCATTTGTGATATTGCTATGATCACTTGCCAGGCGACTGTGATATGGAAACATCATAGTTGATTGAAATCTAGTGCGAATCTAACGAAATAGACTTGTCTTTACTATTGTGCGAACTATACACGACAGATTCACGGCGTTTGTGATAGCAAGATTATCACACTGCACTGCGACCATTCATCCACGCCACAGAACAATGGATCGTGGTAAAAGAGAGATGCTGAGGACTCGGCCGCCGTCGCGCAGTCCCTTCAGGCAAAGAGGACGAAAACAAGTGCAAAGCGGACGTATTTGTCGAAAGTAAACACGATGAAAACGTTGCTGGCACCTCATCATCCTGATACTATCTACAGCAATACTAAGAAGATCCGCATACCGCTCCCAAAACCAGCGGTTCTCGTCTTTTTAGGGCATATCTGTAGCCCTGCACACGTCTGGGACCACGACAGCGTAGAAGCTGGGGCCCTCATCTAAGACGCCTCTGTCGGCGTCGTGCATTTTGGGGGTACCGTAGCGCTCTGGTTGACGTTTATCCTGGGCAACTTTCTGAACTAGATCCTGATATCGAAACTGAATTGCGTCGTGTTCTCGAGGGTTATGAAAAAGTTATTAACAACCTCAAGAAGCGTGGGTTGATGAAAATTAACGAAGGAAAAAGTTAGCTGAAGGCATCTGGCTTTGATCGTCTTGCTCTAAAGTTGATGACACTTGAACCAATGAATAAAGGCCAAGCAAGGTCGGCGGTGCTGTTTAGATGGAGTTTTTAATATTGATGCGGAACTTGATGAGCAGAGCTGATTCCGTTGATACTATCACGTTGCAGCACGTTGAGTAGTCTGAGGATTGCTTAATTGTGGAGGAGCAAAGGCATAAAGGTGACCAGACAGGGGCAGACAAGTTTGGCAAGCATGTGTACGCAAACCCTTACCAGCCATCCCAGTGTTGTTTGCTTGCTCTTGTTGTTCATCTTGTCGCTTGTCCAGAACGTGGAGCTGGTGAGAAGCAGCAATTATTTCTCGGCACCGATAACACTCCTCTACTGTTAAGCAATCCTCAGACCACTCCATGTGCTGCAATATGATAGTATCAACGGAATCAGCTCTGCATATCCATGATCAAGCTGTCCTGGCATTAGAAAAGGCCTGGGAGAAGGTGTTCGTGTACGGTGAGTTTCATTGTTTACTTCCTTTGTGGGCGGCCTGCTTTGCATTATTCCGAGCACCCACACAGTCAAAAGTGATTTCAGCTCTTGTGAACAGACTACGGGAGTGCATCGAGGTCGATTAAGCAACTTCTCTGGCGAAGGCGAGCTGCTGTCAAGGTAGTACGTTGCTCTGCAGACTTTGATCAACCGGCTGTAATAGAGTAAGAAGGGTTAGCATAGTTATTGCTATGTTGAACGCAATATTTGTTAATGTGTAAAAGTATAACGTTTGATCACAAAGATGCTTACTGCTTTATACACCAAGCCAAATTCACTTAGTACTAAATCGGCATTAAAAAAAACTAAAGGATATGTCTGTTTTTTCTGTAGGGAGATCATTAGCCCGTGCCTGTATATACGTGTTTACATGAATCAAATTTTGAGACGGATGACGACGCTCCATGCGTTCAGCAAAGCATGGCTTGACGAATCTGCTTGTTCTTGACGTCCGTGTACGACGCTCAACACACAGCTGCAAAATAACAGCCCTTACGGGGTTATATAACGGAATCATGATTCAGTGGATGTACCTAAAAACATCCTACTGTGGCGACTTTGTCTACAGTTGTACTTGGTTTCGGCCGGCAAGGAATATCTTGTCGATTCCAATCGTTCGCCACACCCCGGTGCCTTTGAGCACAAGAGGACCTTTGTACGGTGAAGAATTCAATGCTGCCCACACGGGGACAAACCAAAATGGCGAACGTGACGATAGGTTAAATCTGCAGGAAGGTCTGATCTGGGTTTTGGCCCAGAGTGCTGGAATTCTCCCTATGTTGAACTCATGATATCCCCCCACCCCCTCTTTCACTGAGTCCAATTACTATGTCATCGTTCGATTTGTCAGAAGCGCTGACAAATCAAAGGCACACCACAGGTAGCCTATAACCGAGGTACAGTAACTACGGTAATTGGTTTTACATGTGTACTGAAAATGATTTCTTTGTGCTAGTATGTTATCTTTTTTGTCCGATTGTTCACACTAATTAGCCTGCCTTTGACTACTAGTACTGTATGAAAAAGACTAATCAAATCAACATAGCTGTATTGGTACTTTCCTACATGCGCATTGGCTTCAATCCACGAATGCCGTGTTTTACACAGGGCAGCTCTGGATTTTCATTCTAATTTTCTGTTGGTATTGCTGCATTCCTAGCAACAAATTGTAAATGGTGCCAGTCTAGTATTGACAAATACTACTTACACTAAGAAAATACTTCCACGGGTACTCCGCTGACCTTTAATTTTTACAGCACACCAACTAAATGTTTGCTATATTTTTGTACTCCTAATATTCTTAATTAGAATATTAGGTAAACTTTTTGAATAGTATACATTTTTTGGAAGTTTGTACAAATCTTCCTTGAAGTAAGAACGAGTAGCGCCGGATGCTCAACCTGATTTACTGTAATTTTACGTCGTATAAGTGTTGTTGCGTGCTTGTTCCCAATAGAAATATAGCTCAGCCTGGAAGCAAATGGTTCCACGAAATAAAGCTGTCCGAGTATTTTCGTGTTGGTTTATGACAACGTACACCAAAGAAATCTGCAGTGAATTTTTCGGCGTACGCTCGGTTGCAACCATATCAACATACATTCTAACATCGAGAGAGACAAAGCGTTTTTGGCACAGAACGGCAAACCTTGATGCAAGCGGGCTACAGCAACAAGATAGGTTAATGAGCAAAGACCTGTTTTAACGCTTTCTCTATTCCCCTTAACCCCCGTCATATCTGCTAGTTAGGCGTAGCTTTGGGCAACATTCATCATTCTAAATTACTTTCGTCTTCCGCAATTTACCGATGATGTTGCACTTGGACACCACAAGTAATATTCACGTCTTTTACGTGATTTGTGCCACGGGTATGAGATATCAAAGAATGACATACTACCTCCGTCCCACAAGACATTTAGCATTTTTATAAACGTTGGCTTATTCACATTACACACGCCCATTAACCAGAACAAGACATGGATAAGCATGTCCGCGGTATGTACTTCGGCGGCTATATGCATCGCATTCTTAACGCTTCTACTTATGAAGATAGCATCGCTCGATTAAGGCGTATTGTGAGGAGTTGCACAAAACGTTACGCCACATTATCAATACGAAAGATATGATCCTCGGGTTTGAACTATTTTAATTAAGACGCAATAACGTACCATTTTAACACCTCAAACATATTAAAGATCCCTCCAATCAAAATCACACTAGAATTGAAACCACGGTCACTTTCGTACTTTATTGGTCTTAACATATTGATAGGACATTTTCGACCAATCCCCAAGTAGTAATGAATTAGACTGAGTTTTAACACTGCTGATTTGTGGAATTACCACGTCTACACAATGACCTCGTCGATGGCCACATTGCCGATATCTACAGCCTCGCTGGAGCACGGCTGCAAAAGGGGCAAATCACCTAAGCGCAGCCACTTGTCCTTACGCAGATGCGGGATCTGGTACTCGTTTCCGCCTCGGTTTAACATCGCTTGTTCTAGCACGGAGTGTAGCGTTAGGAAACACTTGTTCAATTTTACCGAGTCGCGCTCTGAATATGCCGACACGACTGCTGCAACAAACTGCTCCACGTCGTACGCGCGTTTCTGATACTGAAGAGCTTGGATGCTTGAGAAAAAACCCAGATCCAATACATTGAAATCGGGGCTGCGTGGCGGTTAGTTTACGAAGCTGATCTTCCAACCGCCAGAATAACAAGCTGTTTTCACTGCCTCAGAGTATGCACTCGTGTGTGGCTTTGCATTATCTCGCTGTACCATGACCCTTTTAGATCCTAAACAAAAAAAACAGGATAATATTCAAGTTAGAACAATATAACTGTAGTTTTTGTTTTACAATAATGACTTACCTGGCCACTTGGCCGTAATTGCGGGAATGACCTCTTAGATGAGAAATGTTTTGTAAGTCGTCTTGGTAATCGAGAGGCACTTAAGCTCAGGCGTAACAGCGGGACGGTTCTCGAACGAGCGTTTAGCCTCCACCAGCTCCACAAATGGCCAATCAACCAGTTTGCCATAAAACAACTTGCGCGTATGAACGTCGTACCTAGGACGCCCAACAGCACACGATATGCTTGAAATTTGGGACAGCAATATACAGAACCTCCTCGTTGTCGGTCACATAATAGGAAATACGTTATTTCGAAATGTAAAACCATTTCTCATCAATATGAATCGTGTCTTTCATTGAGTTAAACCTGCAGCTTCCTCCTACATAAATATAAAACTTTGTTAGAATTAATACAAAATTCCACAACAAATCAAAAATCATACCAGCAGCCTTCTCCACGAATGAAATGACAAACTCAATGCGCTTGCGTATCTGCTTGGAGCTAAGGGCAGGACTTAACCGGGATCGCGAACCGGGGCGTCGGGGCGCTGAGGCAAAATGGGTTCACTCTGCGATCCGAGCCGTTCTTGATCGGGTCGCGATCTGAGAAAAACTTCAACGTTGCCGCCAAAAAAAAACAAGCATGTAGTGTCCAGCGAAAAGTAAAGACACGGTTGGGGGAGCCGGCGGAGCTCCCAGGAAGTTTGGCCTAGTGTATTTGCAGGTAAATAGCAAAGTGAATAACTATTGTAGTCTACATGGTCCTAATTGCCTTGGCCCCAATGGTTGGACGCGAGCCATGTCAACACAGGACGCGTAACGGAGTATCTTGTCATCTTGAGTGTCGATATGCCGTATACAGCATTGTCTATACTCTGGATACTGTTCAGGATTTGATTCCCCAACTACAACATGTAGGTGGAGCTGGCTGGCTAAGTACATACATGCGTAGCCTGTACTACAAAGCAACATGGCGCGCGATGCCAAGCGCAAGGCAGACGACGTCGCTGCCGCTGCTGCTAGCAAAACGGCAGCCACAGTGAGCTCTAAGTGGACCGTGACGATCAACCTGACGGCGCTGAAGCGTCCTGTGAACCCGCCAACGTCGGAGGATTACAGCGAATGGAGCCTGGACCAGCTCAAGTTGGAGTGCACGGCCCGCAAGCTGAACGTCGTCAAGAACACCAAGAAGGTCGACCGCGCCATGATCCTCGACGCCTGGGACGCCAACAAGGGTAGTGTTGAGGCTTTGCTGCTGCGTCAGCAGCAGCAAACAAAAGGCGGGGGTGGCGTGGAATACAAACGCACCAAGGGCTGCATGTTCAGATTGCTGAACGTGGTGTTCTCAGACCACTTCTTCGAGGCATTTCTCGCCACCGGAAATCAACTCTCGCGCGAGGAGATTGATCAAGGGGGCTGATCATTTTGGACAGACGTTTCTGTGGCGTTTGGAGATGACTCTAGTGAGTTTAACAAAGTGATCTCTTCGGAATCGATGTTTGAGGACATTGATGCATCCTTCGCAATGGTTCACTCTGCTGCAAAGCTAAAGCGGATGTGGAAGGATGTTAGCGACAACTTTGCCAGCGCGGAGGCCAAATCAAAGGTGTCAGGGCAGGGAAGTAATGACTTTTGGGATTTCTGCGGCGGACGAGCAGACGTGTACTACCTTGATCAATGGGGCAATCATTGAGGAGATGGCCGAGGGTTCAGCGCTGCGAATATTTATGCTGGTGATGACGATGACTCGACCAAGGAAGGATAGTCGTCAAAGCAGGACGTATACCGGAAACGTCGAAAGAGCTCGCAGTCGTCGGATATTCTTGAATGCGTGAGTTCACTACTGGAGGCGGAGACAACGGAAGTTGCAGCTGTGTAGGAAGACACCTGGAACGGGCAGAAGCTGTTTATTCAAGAGCAGCGGACGGCGCAGAAGCTGACTACACTGTCCGTCATGCTTGATCGCAACAACGCGGCCGCCCACCAGCTCTTGACAAAACGCCACGATTACATCGCGCAGGGGCTTGATGCGGCTAAAATCGGAGAGGCTCTCTCGAACCAGCAGCAGAAAATTACCTCATATAGTGATTTACCTTACCTTTGCCAGGGTCACATACAAGACCAAGTCAATCTGCTATGAGGCGTGCTGCTCATTTCGTAGAGCTCCAATGAAGTGTGATCAAGATGCACGTGACAACGTGGAATCTGTCCTGTCGATGATCAACGATAAGCGCATTGAGCGCGAACAAGACCGGAGCCAATATCCGACAACTCGCCCTTACTTAGTCGACCGTGAGGAAACTGACACATCAATTTTCGACACGTCGCGGGCCATTGATGGCTCTGCTGAAATCGAAGACATGACTAATATTCATCACGCGTGAGTTCAACGAACTGTTGCAGTCTATTCGCGACTTTATTATAGCTAACTACAACGCGAAAAGATAAAAGCGTTCTGACTTTACACCAAATGATTTTTCTCATGACTCTAGATACACTCAAAGGAGGCGGGCCGTGGCAGGACGGATGAAATATATTCCGAGTCCCTCTGCCTTCATTAAACGCGACAATGTTCATCCAGCTCTTGGCAGCCACGTCGTTTGTCAGCGAACACACGCTTACCCAGCTGACTCAAGAGTTTAAACCAGGCTTCTGACAGTAGACATCGAACAGTAGGAAATCGAGAAAACTCGGTCTTCCCGTATTAGTGATTTAACCAGGAACATCTTTTTTTTTTTTTTTTTTTTTTTGAGAATCATCTAGATTTTACGCTATTTGTATTCTCTTGGATTTAATTTTCAGAGTTTTAGGAGCGAGTCATTCTAACCCAAAACTACTGTAGACTTTGTATTTAGGGAATCAAAACCACTCAAGAAATGTATACCTTGCAGATTATTCCTCTTGACATTAATCTACTACCATCAACTAGCTCGGTGCCTGTAAGTCCGTCCGAGGCTAGGTTTAATACATAAGATGCAAATACACCAATTTACTGGCTGCGGAGCATAGCGAAGGCAACCCCAATCGGCCAGAAATTTTTTTAATGTTCATATTGAATGTGGCCCACATATCGTACTTAAACAAAACTAAAATGTTCTACATATTGTACTTAAATGCACGTTCAAATTTCATGTTGCCCCCAATTTTAAAACTGAAAGCCGCATAGCGTCACGCGAGGTACGCTGCATATAAATAGATACTCCGACGTTCCTGGGTATGCTGAGGGAGAAGCTTATAACTCGCATATGGTAGTTATATAAGATTACTGCATGTAAGCCAGAAAGCACGGCCACATATGCCCTGGCTTACATACTCGTAGCAAGAATATGCCACACTAACTTTCAGTTGCTGCTCTGCAGTGCCTCACGCACGAGTAGCACCCGTACAGACTCAGACACCATCGGAACGATCTCTACATGATGATACTTGCCTGTCAATACAAGTGCCGCGTCGAAATCGAGAGGTGGTCCATGTTCTACGAGCCAGCGCAGCAAGGGCACGTTATCATTTCTTCCAGCTTCCTCTATCAGGTTTAGAGAAGTTATCTTGAATCCACGTTTTGAGAGCCACCGAGCAGCATCGAGCTGGCCTTTTTGGACCGCCAACTCGAGCAGATCGGGGTCTTGTAGTTCGAATTGGTTTGAATAAAACCATGCAACAGCTGTACGTCACCTCTAGCGACAGCATCGCGGATGGGGATCGTTGTACGCAATTCAAGTCCCAACTGATTCAGCCAATCCAAAATCTCGATATTGCCTTCACAAGTTGCAATTTGTGCGAGGCATCTCAAACAATCCTTCACGAAAGCGGGTCGCTTGTTGTAAGCTGACTGCAACACTATCATCGGTTCATGGACCCTGTGGCTCCGGTCTGTCTTCAGTGACAACGGACGCCTCGAGCTGAACAAGCATTGCACTTCAAAATTATGTGCAGCTGTCATGACATTACTAGGAAACCCTTCACTTCTGTGCTCCAGTAAGTACAACATCACGTTCAGGTGGCCATTGCGGGCAGCTAAGTACATTGCATATGCGGTGCAACCTTCACGACAATTTTCATGAAACCATCTGACAATGTGAAGGTGCCCGTTTCCAGCCGCTTGGTCCATGGCCTGTCGGACGAATTTATCTGGGTAGTGTGCATGAAGCCACTGAATAACTTCTAAGTGACCATGTCGTGCTGCGTGGAACGGTGCCATGTGTGTACACCCTTCGCTTCGATGTTCATGCAGCCACTTGATAACATTTAAATGGCCATTAGTTGCAGCTCCGTCCATATCATATTCGCTAAACGTACTTGGTAAACGTACATGCAACCACTGTAATACATCCAAGTACCCTCCTTTAGCAGCGGAATAACTAGCGGGTAGAGCGTAATCATAGCAGGGGAAGTTTTGATAAAGCCACTCGACGACTTTGAGATGCCCACCGCTCGCAGCGAGGTGCAAAGTTCTCACAGTGCAATTTCCGTTTCGTGTTCGCTGTAGCCATTTTACAATATCCAGATTACCGCTTTGAGCTGCTCCTTCCATTGCTGTCTTCGTACATTTCACAAGATCTTTCGGTTGCAATGGGTGGTTTCAGGCGGTCGGAGAATGCGACAAGGATGAAACCTTCTTTCCCTATCCTGTAGTACAATAGATAGAATACGGACGAGGACGAGCTCTTCAAAGGGCCGTCCCTCATTTTGGATCTCTCTCGCCAACGCTAACAGCCTCAAGAACCAACTCAGTTCGTTTCGTTTCTTTCAGACACACTCCACGGTCAACTGTAATGAGCACAGCGGGGAGCTTTTACTACCTACGTCCAGGCACTTTCGATGTCCTAGGATACAGTTATGGCAAGCTGGAAGGAGTGGCGTCTCGCCGTGGGAAGGTGAAGATCAACCTCGTGCTAAGCGGACGATGGGCAAATGAGAAGATTCAAGTTAGCGAGGTAACACTCGCAGACATCACCGAACGTGAGGTGAGCGAGGCGGAAGCTCTTCAAGGACCAGGCACTTTCGTTGGAAGTGCGATATGCACAACCCGAGTGCCACTGGGGGGCGTCAGAGTCTGGGCGTACGGACTGGTGACTGGGTACGAGTGGTCTACTCATCGCCAGGAGGGAACTGTCGATGTAAACTTTGGTGACTCGACGGAGACCGTTCCTTACCAGGCCGACAACCTCCAGGACGTGTCCGTGGAAATTTACGCACTTAGACCGTGTGCTTCGTGCGGTACCAGTGCTGTCATGCCGAGAGAGCTGAAACAAATCCACGAAAAGGTGTATAAGAAGTTTAACGGTGCGGATCAAATCGCAGTGCGGAACGTCGACGAGTTAGTAGTGGACGCTCGTGTAAAACCCGTCAGCGAGGCTGCCATCCTGCCAATCTTTGATATTACCAACTCCAAGCTATGTCACGTAAGTGTGAAACACATTCTGGATCACGTATTCTATAAGGATGGCAATCGCCCGCCACCCGCGGGGCTGGTACTCAATGATTCAATATTCACGGCAGTAGATTCGGTTACTGACGTGGTTAATACGCCTACCCAATTGGAGCTGAACGAGTCATTAAACGACGGTTTGAGCGACTCCGAAGACGACGAGGTGCAGCAAGTACCCAACCCGATAACAACACGACGCAACGAGACTACGGACGAGCCACCACGGAAGCGACGTCGAACTGGAGACAGCCCACACGCGGTAGAGGCCGAAGATCGACTGCACGAGCTTCGCCTGCGCTGTCAAGCAGACCAAGCCTTACAAGCGTATATCGACCAGCTTATCTCACTCAGACGAGTAGGCGCCGCGGTGGAGCGCTCTAGTTTGATAAGTCTGGCGCCAAGACCAGTGTCTGAGGACAACAGTCAATTTCGGCCCTCGGGAACCCAAAGCAGAATTCACCAAACGCTCGTACACGGTAACTTTTCTTACATGACCCCGCAACAATTCATTGAGCATGTAAAGATTCATTGGAATCGATACGGCTTCTTTCCACACCCTGCTGTGTTGCGCGGCCTCTTCAGTTGGGACTTCGGAACGCGCGGACGATCGATCATGCACTTCATGCGTGTGACCGAGAGGGAGAAACGAGACTCTGTCCGTCGGTACGATATGAGTAATTTTTCTCGCAAGAATTCGCTGCTAGCTCCTTCTTCGGTATCAGAGTTCTCGATGATAGTTGGAGCAGTGGAAGTGCTTGCAAATGTGGCTAATCAACTCTACCAGCCCGTGGTTCAAGACCTCTTCACTCATGTTTTAAAATTTTTGGTGGAGCTACGTGTGCGCGAAATGCCGAACACGAGGCGAGCTCTAACGGAGTTAGTCGAGTGGATAGATGAAAGAGTCGAATTATTCCGAGTTCACATCGCGGACGGCGCAATCACCTTGGCGGCTGAGATTAAAACACAATTCAGCACCTCACACGAAGCCTTCTTGCGCGTAAACTAAATGATCCTTCGCCAAGACGTCGAAGCAGCTCTCGCTGAAGCCAATACAGCGGTGACACGAAGAAGGACCGGTGAACAGCCGTCGGCAACCAGTACGACAGGAAGCTATTCGAAACGACCAGCTAGGGGACCAGTACCGCTGGAGGTCCTTAAGGCACTGCCCAAACAAGGTGGGAAGGCGGTTTATATGAGGTACCTTTCACGAGAAGGCTGTCGTGGCTGGAATGGTAAATGCCGAGTTGACGGTCGCGTCCACTTCAAACCCGCAGTCTTGGAGGACGTAGTTAAACAGTACATCGAGAAGACGTACGGCGGCTTAGCAGCAGACCTCGAATGACGGTGAATACGCCCTAATGTCGACATGGCCCCCATTACGACTGGAGATCAATCTGCAGCACGTTCAGTGGCTGGAGATCCCGCCAGTTTTATACCAAGAATTGCCATGAACATGAATGACGACGTCTCTCACGACGCAATTTCATTAGAGCTGTGCTCGTCCACTACTCCACATAAAGGCGGTGGCACCTCCTCCCATTTGTGCGAGTCCCAAAAGTCAGAAAACGGTGAAGATTCCTCCCGTAATGTCGATGAGGGTGTCAGCAGACTCCCGTTGGAAACCTTTTTACTACAGCGTCAGCGTGTGTCGGACAAAACGCTGCAAGCACGCAAACGAGTAGAGGACCATTGGAAGGCCTCGGTATTTGAAACGTTTAACAAAGCACTTCGTCAACATGGACTTTTACCCCCATATCCATGTCCCGCAGCTGAACATGTCAATGGGCAGGAAAGGCACCTTCTTGACAGAGAAAAACAACGTGTGTACAGTGAGTTTATTCGCCGCTCAAGGATGCCACTTCCTGAATTTGTTCGTCTCCTTCGTGGCGAAACCAACTTCGACTCAAGACCAAACAAGGCTCTGGAGATCTCATCGTGGAACCCGTCCTGGAATTCCTACGACCACAAGAGCAAATGGTCGAATATCGTTCACCACGGTGTAAAACCGAAGTCGAAATCGCCATTCCCTAAACAGTCCTCCCCTCCAAAGAACCATGGTTCCACTCTGCGTGCTTTGAACAGCATCATCAAAAGTCTCAGAACCGGTCAAGACACAAAACGATACGTTATCCTCGATATTGACCTTCTAAGTATTCTGGAAGACTTCACTTGTAGCCCATTTGGTGCGGTCCAGAAGGGTGACGTCGACTTGTCGAAGGAAACTCGCCTCATACACGATTTGTCTTACCCGAAAGGAGCGTCAATGATAATACGGCAGAGGAGGGCGAAATCACTATTTCTTATGATGCAGCAGTAGCAATTGCCAACCGCGTCTTGGATGTAGCTTCGAAACACCCAGACCAGCAACATATGATTACAGGGGATGTCAACGGCGCTTTCCGCCACATTCCAATTGCTGCTGAGGTCGTTGGACGTTTTGCGGGGACAATTCCGGAGCTGGGAATTCTTGTGATCGACCTATATTGCCCGTTTGGGTGGGAAAACTCGCCATCGTCGTACTGGGTGGCTGGTGCAGCGATAAATCACTTATACGCATGTGCAGCTCCAATGTGGCCAGACCAACCAACGTGTGCTAAGGTATTCGATGCTAAAGCATGGTGCGATGACCACATCGCAATCGAAGCCGACGTTGGCTCCCGTCTTTTCGAGGCGGATCTTGCTCTGCGGGCCTCAATGACGACTGTTTTAGGAGCGTCGGCGTGCAACGAGAAATAAGTTTTCTTCTTGGTTCAAAGAAGGAAAAGCTCTTGGGCTCAACTGGAATCTCAAGACACTGACGGTTTCCATGCCACCAGAAAAGATTAGGAAGGCACTGACACGGGTTCAAGAACTTATCGGCTGCGAACGAACGACCAGAACGAAGTTGAATAAGCTCGTGGGCAGCCTCAGACACGTGGTGACCTGTATCCGGCCGGCAGCGTCATTCTTTCAGCGAATAGCGGAGCAGGCTCGTTTGTCGCCACGCTTCGGGTCAACTTCGATCTCGCAAGATGTTACAGAGGATTTACGGTGGTTTGAGCTTATTTTGCAGCGAGGAAGGCTCAATCTATCCCGTTGGTTCAATTTGCATCGCGGTCTGCCCCCAATTATCATGTTCAAATGGATGCCAGTGATCGAGGTCTCTGCGCACTTTTTCCGGCACATAAGCAGTTCTTCCAGCTTGAATTCGACCACGCTCAACGGGAGCTGATTCGAGAATTCAATCAGAGTGGTAACAACGAATTCGGTATCAATGTTAGAGAACTAATGAGTGTCGTATATGCTGCTTTGATTTGGGGAAGTTCGTGGACGAGCGGCGACGAGGATCCCGAGTCGCACGTGAAGTTCTGGATTGATAACATGTCGGCTGTAGCCTGGAGCAACAAGAGGTTTAGCAGGAATCCCTTCGCGCAAATGCTGCTTCGTATCGTCAGTCTCTGTGAGGTGCAACATGGATTTTTCGCGACGGCATCGCATGTGGCTGGAGTCAAGAACGAGATGGCGGATGCAGGCAGCAGAATGTGGCAGTCCTCTTCACATGCACTAACCTTTTCTCGTTTGTCTTCATCCTGGTAACAGGTGCAAATCCCGGACGACTGGCGAAATCTCTCGCGTCTCTGGGAGCGTTATTGCGAGCAGGAGCTCTAGCGCAGTCGACACGCCCTAAGTACAGCGCGGCGTGGTCTCAATGGGTCAGGTGGTGCGGCATGATGAATTTCGACCCATGGCTGACGGAGGCCGACGTCAGCCACAACACGATGCAGCTTGGCGCATACGCAGTCTATCTGTGGCAGTTCGGCATGAATCGTGCTAATACGGGTAATTCCTACTCGACAATATGCGGCAAGCTCTGCGCGATCCGTTGGCACCACCGGAACTTAGCAGGATACGATCCCGGAGTTAATGCCAGTCACGCGATTCTTCTCCGTGAAATTCGTCGATTTACTAACCCGGTCACCAAGCAACAGCCCTTGACTGCGCGTATGTTTCGAATTATCTTTTCCGACATGAACCTCTCACTTCCGCGCAACCAATTATTGTGGGGTGGCCTTTTACTCGGATATTTTTTCATGTTGAGAAGGTCGGAATACTTGTTTATTGGGAACAAAGTCCATAGATATATCGTCCGTCTGTCAGCTATAACGTTTGTCGACGATATGTGCCAGCCGACGACTACCCGCAAGACAACCATGGTGGGTTTAAAACTAAAAGGAGCAAAGAATAACCAGTTTGGAAGAGAGGAAGTGCGCTACCACCACAAGTCCGGCGACAAAATACTTTGCCCAGTTCGAGTAGCGAGATGGATTCACCGAGGAGCACGCGCATTCAAGACGGCAGCGGATGCCCCAGCGCTATCACTACAGAACGGCGGTATCACTGCGGACGAAGTAGCGACGGTGATACGAAGAGCGGCAGCAAGACTGGGATTTGAACCCTCGCGCTTCTCAACTCACTCAGTGCGGATCAGAGGTGCAACGGCCTTGCTCAACTTGGGGACGGATCGCCTCCTTATCAAGCTGATGGGGAGATGGCTTTCCAATGCTTTCGAGGCCTACCCAGTGCTCAGTGCAAAAGGCTCTGCAGAAATGTCCACGAGAATGTGCTAAAGAGTGCAGTCTGCAGTCCAAGGTCGTACCAAGTGACGGATGAAGTCTCTGGGGGTATCCGCCACACCACACCCTGGAGTGGAGGGCATAATGAATATGTAAACTGCCCCAACGAAGAGATATCTGGAAATGGGTGGTTTCGGACGGTCGGAGAATGCGGCAAGGATGAAACCTTCTTTTCCCTATCCTGTAGTACCATAGATAGAATACGGACGAGGACGAGCTCTTCAAAGGGCCGTCCCTCATTTTGGATCTCTCTCGCCAACGCTAACCCGCCACGCCACACCCTGGAGTGGAGGGCATAATGAATATGTAAACTGCCCCAACGAAGAGATAGCTGGAAACCACTCCAGCATTTCTAGATGCTTATTTCTAGCAGCTAAATTCATACTAAAGCTACTACACTGACGGTATACAGCCACTGTGCAATGGCGAGATGTCCATTCGCAACAGGACGTTCCATTGACTTACTCCAGCGGATACAGCTGTCCGAACTTGTGTTATAAATCCACTGTGCCACTTCCAAATGTCCGTGTTCTACTGCCAATTCCAGCGCATCCGACGCGCAGTGAGTATACAAGAAGCTATCCTTGACGTAATCGACCCCTTCAAGCTTGTCCCACAACGTGTGCCAGTCCACCCCTCTCTTGTACAACCACTTGACGACGTCAATATTCCCTTATGTAACAGCAATTGCCAACACATCGGTGAAATCCTTTTTCCATGGACCACGATCGTCGGAACGCTCTGTCATCCAATGAAGCACGTGCACATGACCACCCCGCACAACTGCTTGGACCGCTTCCTTCCAATCCGGTGCTGCAATTCTGTGAAGTAAGAACTCAAGAGTGCATCGTGATGCTCCTTCCCCACAAGCAGCAGTGAAGACCTCGTGACACAGGAACGAAGTCAAGTATTCATCAATGGACCGCATGACATAGTGTAACGTGTTAGCGGGAAGACAACGCTTCACCACAATACGAGTAATCTTACGGTAACTCATGCGGAAAACCGGAAATGCAGGCGCTGGAATGAAAATCTCTTTTGATGTGAGTGTTGAACTGTATTGATTTGATGGGAAAAAAGTGTTTTCTTGGAAATCCCAGCGCACAGGAGATCAAGAAATTGTCTGGTATTATATATTGGCGACCGGTATAATATTATTTGCTTGTTCTTTGTGAATATCGATGCGAATGAGTCGGTGGGTTACCTGAAGGATGCGATCAAGGAGGAGAAGCCCTGGACGGTCACTGGGATAGCTCGCAAACTCCATCTTTTCCTTGCGAAGAAGGACAGCGTATGGCTGGACGCTACTGGCGTAACGGCCGTAGAGCTCGATGCAAATGGACAGCTGCAAGGCTTCGAGGAGATGAGGGCGACACGATGGATCCGGAACGCCATGCACTTTGGAGAGAGGTTTCACCCGGACGATGGTCAGATCCATGTGCTGGTGGTGGTACCGAACGATTATCTTGAATGAAGAACCTCAAGTCATGTCGTTCGGTTAAATGGGCGCCTAATAGCTGAGCCTCTGCGGGAGTAAAGTAGACAGATCAACGAGATACATGAGCTCGCAATCGGGTAAAATTTCTACCTCCAGTAAAGCAACTATACATACGCAGGAATACCAGTTTGCTTATTTTGTTAATCTATTTTTGTGCAATTCGGAAAAGGTTCCCTCGAGCGTTGGAGATATACAATAATTCACAATTTCTAGCAGGGGATCAATAAAGCAATTATTGTTTGTATATTTTGAACTTTTTTTTTACTGCTCCACTATAATAACAAAGTCGTGCTGCGCACGAAGAGGTTCTGAAATTTTAACAAAAAATATAGAACCGCGCACGACCATGGTAAATTACACCACGGAGGATCTAAAGCGTGCTCCATTTGTGGGCAAGAAGTCATGTTACACTGTCCCTTTTTGCTTTGGTTTATCTCCTATTCCTATTAACTGTGCTACGCTGTTGCCTTTAACTGCGTTTTTTTTCGACCTGTTTCTATAGCAAAGGGCATAGTACGAACAGTCCTGGGATCTGTGGTGAGCTTCAACCTCCAATGCGTGGCTTTGGAGCCTCGCATCAGCTCAAATGTCGACCACAATCTCTTGTGCGTGGGCTATGGGCAAATGCCTCATCAAGTGTCTGGATAGGACCAATAGTGCAACATTATACTTGAGACCTCCTTCTGTCGAAATCCGCTCTTTCCAATGGTGCAGGTTCTCTGACCGTGCAGTCGCTTCACTTCCCACTTTAACAATCAAGTGCTGAGGAGTATAGTATACGAACGAGAACGAACTACTACGACCCTTCAGGTCCTCCCTAGAAGACCTTAACGCGCATTCAACCGCAGAAGTTCGTCGAGCTGATAAGATAATTGGAGCTTCGACATTGGCAAGAACGCAAGGTCTGGTACCTGGTCCACAGCATTGTAGTGGGGCGTGGTTTAAAACCCAACCGAGCCCACGCAATGCAGTCGAGTGCGACAGCAAGGTTGATCAGCATCATGTGGTTGCAGTCAGCCATGTAGATGTAGCTCAACGAGAAATGGGGTTGAAGCTGAGCTTCTTTTGTTAAGTCAAAGTCGCTTATCAGAATTGCCTGCTGTTATCTACAACTGTTCGTCTACTCAAGCTGGTACATGTTGAAGTATGAATTGAACACCATCACTAGGACGCTGGTGATGGTAGTGTGGGGAGCAAGTCGAAGTACATGCTTTAGTTTTCTCAGTTTCATTTTTGACAGCTAGTCGACAAGCTCAATACACTCGGCGACAAGGCTTACAGGAAGTGCCAGCTTCCTTCGAGTGTCTTTGAACTTTCTTCTGAGCGTGACATACGACAAGCATCTACAATGAATATCTTGGCACAACTAGCCGAGTGAGTGCACGTGGTTGTATCACAAATAGAGATCTCGATATGTAAGTGGGTCTTGGTCATCATTGTGGATTACTTAAGTACCCTATGTTTTAAGCAGCATCGTGGTATTTAGCCCACAACGAACACAATCAATAAATAACTACATATAAATAACTTGCAGTTGCATGTTGCACGAAGATAGACTGTCGCTACCATTCATGTGGGAGGTTCAAAAGCAATGCAGGTAAAAATGATTAGAGGTATTTGTTACTCGCACACTACCAATGACTCTCACTTTTGAGCAGTAATGTATAATATTTTTGGACAATCCGACCATTTAGTTTACGAAGACGTGCGTTTTCAAGTGTTTGTAAGGGTATCAATTTTTTTTTGAATTCATTCACTAAATAATTGCAAGCCAATTAATATAAAGAGGGTACGCTTATCGTATCATACATGAACTAGGCGTGGAAAACCGGATCCCCGTGAATTCTTTTCTAGAGAACACACATTGAAATCTTCAAATTAATTCTAGTGCAGTTATTAAGAGCTCAAATTTCAACCACCGCGATCCAAGTGGATCGCTGGAGATTCGCGGCTTGAAATCAAGTGCATGCTCCGAGCTGTATACGTACTGACCGTAAACCCTGCGCTTGCTCGGACCTGCAGACGTACTTAATGGCAATACCGCACGCATTCAACCGCGCGAGGAACAGAACATTTCTGCGCATAGTTGCCACAGCCGTAACGGCTTGGCAGTACGAAGTTGGCACGTGTGACAATATGCCGTTCCTCCTGGAAGATCGTCATCTTCACGTCCAGCATGTTAGTGGGCTCCGTGATCTCAAAAATAAGCTTTGTCGACCTCAGCACTATTTGCCTTGTGCACAGACGCCAAATTGGCTTGAAAACCATCTTAAAACTCAGTGGCCTTGCTCACATATTGCTGTCCAATGGACAGGTGGGTAGTTCAGTCAACAGTTGGCATTGATGCTCTAAGGTGGTGGTTGTACTCGATATGTAGTAAGACCGTGTCAGTAGTCTGTACAGCGACCAAACCACTGAGATATCGTAGATTACCTTAAACGTTAGACCCGCGTACGCTCGCAGCACCGCAAGCCGTGCTACTAGCACTACTGTCAGCCGCTTGTCCATCAGCTCATAGCTTGGACCACCGCATCTTATAGTTTATTCTACATGTTTACGGTGGTTACACGATACAATTATGCGACAGCCTTCTCTTGACTTCAATCGATTCCACAAAAAAACTGTTGCTCGTACGAAAAGTTAAGCCAATATCCCCAACCAAGGCGCTTCGAGCAACCTTGGAGCTTCGACATCTCGTCTTCTAGAGCGAATTAAAATACAAACCACTGCCACCTTAAATGTCTTGTAGCGGGTATTTACTGTGCTCAAATTTATGATCGACAAAGGAATTTTAACAAACTTCGCTCTTGGTCCTGAAACGAAGAAACGCAATATCCAGTACGGATTACTGAGTCAGTCTATGTTAAACAGTACGCTACAAAATGTTGAAAATTGTGGTTTTCTACGATAAGTTTATAGCAATTTAAAGCAAATCAAGAAATCAGACATGAAGTACAGTAATGCATTTTGTTTTCCGAGGGTGGATCTTATAGGATTTGCAGACACATCAGGTTTCAGAAACCCGAGGATACTTGGCATAAGGAACATTATCTTAAAGTTAAGGAAAGGTCCGAGGGTGCAGTACTGTACCTGAATAATATGTAGGTACAGTACTGTACCCCATCATCACAGCCCACGATAGTGACCCAACGTGTCAACACGATGATGAGTTCTCGATTTAAATTGTATATGCTACTACATGCACACTATGGCGCTGGTACGTCCACAGCCTGTACAACCAACTAGTCTACATAGTTCGCATCATAACCATCCATTCTCTTAGTACTACTTCGGTTCTTATCTACTCCTGTCAAATTTGTCATTATTACCGTAGCCAGCACTTGCGGGGAACATTGTAAAAAAAACATCTTAATTGAGTTGAGTGGTTTCGACGCGGCCACACTCTTTCAAGTCAAACTCGTAATTTGCCTTCGGGTGAATACATGGCCTTATCAGTGTGAATATTGAGGTACGAGCCGATAGGTCAAATCTATACGTCCCTTTTCGGTCGGCTTTTATTCCCTTCTGTAGTTATCGTTTCTTCACGCGGAGTGCTTCGCACTATCCGACCGGCTGAATGCTTGTCCATATGGCACTGACCAAGTCAAGCTCGTCACCGCTTCTGCCATCAAAACCACCCAACTGATACCCTTCTTTCGCAGTATCCGTTCCAATCTTGTGCGTCGGTGTGCCGCCTTCGATAAAATTCCCCTTATTGGTGGTGAACTTGATGTACTTGACACGCGTACGACCTTTATGTGTACCCGCATGTGCCTCCATGACAGTGATGTATTCACCTTCAGCTAACGCTAGAGGGGTTTCCAAGTCACCACCATCACCACCATGGTATAAGGTACTCTCTTCCCCAGACGGATTCACGATGGTGAGGATGACGGCATCGACGCGTTCCCCCGCACGAAGGTTGATAGACAGCACTTTTTGTCCAGACTTAATCAAGGCCGCATCTGTGAAGGGATCGCCATGGAGACCTCCGAATTCCGGACCCTCGTAAGTACCGGGTGGCAAAGTAATAACTTCATCCTCTCCATCTTCTGCATATCCCCCATGTCCTCCTGCTACTGGTCGATACGCTACTCCCCCACGCCCACCGCCTCCACGCCCACCTCCACCACCTCCTCTTCCTTTTCTTTCCTCTGAATCCGCCTCACCACTTGCAATGCTGTCTCTGAGCGTCGGGTAGTCGTTTGACTCCGACGCGGTCTTGACAGCGATTGCGACACCGTTGTTAATAGAAATCAAGGCGACCACAATAGCCAACATGAGACGTAGCACGTGCATGTTGTTGCAATAGGTTGTTGGAACGAACGCAAATTATTGAATAAGACAACAAAGTCACCGCACCACAGTGGCGACCTAGGACGGCTCAAACTAACGCTGAATGAGTGATGCAGTCAACCGATAACTTTTTCTGGATAAGCTATCTGCGAAAAATACGCAGGCAACATGGAGGTTCCATTGCAGCCGTATGGCCCACCAGTTATTACTATACTACGATGTTATTTTGTAGAACATGCTTGGTTTCAAATTGGCATTCTGAAAGGAAAATAAGATATTTTGGCATTGTTTTGTGTACCGAGTGCCCAATTTGCCCATGCCTGATATACGTATGGATTGGTAATATACGTATAATCGCGAATCAAACTGAAAAAAACGTTAAAACTATTTTTTGGTCTAAAACCCGGTCATTTTGGATGCTGATGTCAATATTCGACGCCCTTTTATGTGCATAATTACTCTTCAATATCAGATTTTCTATTGGTTTTAAAATGCATAACCACGAAATCCTATTACTAAAAATCTTTTTTTTCACGTTAGTTTTTTATATTCTTCGAAACGCACCAATATATAGATATACGTGTTTACGTGAATCAGATTTTGGGACGGATGACGACACTCCATGCGTTCAACAAAGCATGGCGGTTAGCGAATCTGCTTGTTATTGATGTCCGTGTACGACGCTCGACGCACAGCTGCAAAATAACAGCCCCTACGGGGTTATATAGCGGAATCATGATTCAGTGTCTGGGCCAAAACCCAGATCAGACCTTCCTGCAGATTTAACCTACCGTCACGTTCGCCATTTTGGTTTGTCCCCATGTGGGCAGCATTGAATTCTTCACCGTACAAAGGTCCTCTTGTGCTCAAAGGCACCGGGGTGTGGCGAACGATGGGCATCGACAAGATATTCCTTGCCGGCTAAAACCAAGTACAACTGTAGACAAAGTCGCCACAGTAGGATGTTTTTAGGTGCATCGAGTGCTAGAATTCTCCCTAAGTTGAACCCATGCGCTGACAAATCAAAAGTACAACACCGATAGCCTTTAACAGAAATTGTTACTGAGTTGACGATAGTAGCTCGATCGTATCGGCAGAGGTCGTTGACGACGGTGACGGTTTACGCGGACGATATTACGAAGATACTGGATCACGCGGCTGATCATGATGCATGATGATTACGGGGTAGATGTTAGTGTAGAGTGTCGCGAAGGAGTTTGTAGGAGGCAGCATAGGTAGCGACGAAAGTGTCTCTATTCATCTCTCATTAATAAATATTTGCTCTAGACAGCAAGTCGCGCGATAGAGATCCAGTAACTGCAGTAATAGGTATATACAGGCATTCTGAGAAGAATACTAGTACGTTCTTTTTATCCGATAGTTTACAGTGATTAGTCTGCCATTGACTGCTAGTATTGTATGAAATAGTCTAATCAAAAAAAAATGTATACTTTCCTTTGTGCCCATTGGCTACAGTCCACTGCCTAGCGAGCGCCATTTAATCGGACCTCTTGGTTTATTAGGTCACTAGGCGAGTTGGGTACTGCACAACCAAATACCCCTTCTTTGGTGAAGTAAAGGTTTTGGTCACAAGAGCTTTTCTCGAATACAATGATAATCGGGAAATACACACGTTTTGGACTGGTAATCAAGACACCCACGACATGCAATGCAACAACAAAACTTCTGATTTTCCCACTAAAAGTAGCAGCATGTACTCTTTTAAGAGGATGCTCACAAAGTCGGATTTTTAAAACTGCTTCGTACTTGCGCCCGCGTCATGTTAATAAGGTAGCGTGGTACAATTCGATCTTCGTATAGCTAACACGATAGGAACCGCAGCAATAATGTCCAGGCAAAGCCGTGGGAAAGCTAAAAAAAATGTTGCAAAAAGGCTCCCAAACTCCATAATAGTGGTTGTCAGAGTTGCTTTCAGATAGAATTTCAGATGAGATAATTACTAGTTGAAGCAGCTTCATTGGCTAAAATATATCTGAAATTTAGATAGCGATACCGGAGCTTTTGGTCTTTAGTTGGCTTTCTGAAAAGGTTTGTGGACCACTTATTTGCAAAGTGGCTTACCGATTTCCTACCATGGCCACCAGCAGCAGCCCTGCAGCGAAGAAGAAGGTGCTATGGGACCGCGACGGCGTGAATGGAGGCCTTAGCTCAATGAAGATCTTGCTGGACTGGCTCACCACTGAAGGAAATTATACTAAGTGGAAGGGGGGGATTGAGCGTCGGGTTTGACAAAAGAGGCGCTGTGTGGCACAATTATAGGTAAGCTTATCGACGCTGGCATACGCCATAGGAAACCTGCCGATGTACGCGACAAGATCCAAAAGCTGGAGTTGAAGTACCGTACGGCTGTGGACTGGCTGGCCAATACGGGACAAGGCGTCACGGATGAGACGTCCATTCGATCTGCCCTCTAAACGATGTCCTTATTACTACGAGCTGACACCAGTGATGGACGATCGCCAGTCAACTCGGCCCAGCCAAACGACCGATGACCTGGACGAAATAACGAAGAGCAAAGGGAAGAACAAGCAGCCGATAAGCATTGCTAAGAGCACAAGTAACAAGCGTCAACAGGGGGACTCGCTGTCAGCTCTAACGAGGCTTCGTGAAAAGAGTCAGCACGCGAGAGAACAAGCAAACGCTAAGCTGCTGGAACTTTAAGAAAAGCGTCTTCAACTTGAGGAAAAGCGATAGAGTCGAGAAGAAAATCAAGCCAAGGCGCAGTTGGAGCTTATAAGTGCGCAGACCCGCTCAAATACTCCTGGGACCCAAAATACTTGTCACTGTTGAGAAAAATCTTTGGGTTTTTCCACACGCGGTTGTCGTGGGCAGATCCCGGCCACCCAGCTAACCTGTATCTAATTTTTGCGTTATCATCACAAATAATTAGTGCATTTATGGCGTACGTTGACTTCCGAGAGAAATAGTCCCTTCCACAAATGTGTGGTTTTGCTGCTAGTGGCAAAAGGGTACCATCAATAATTCCCACGCAACTAGGGAACTTTGAGACGCCAAATATTCTAGAAGATATTTCACGACGTTCTTTTTGTCCAGACCAAATAATAGATTTTGACTTTAACTCCACTAATGCATCCACAACGCGATCAATAAACCTGTAAATGGTCCCTCCTGGAATTCCAAAAAAAATGCATCTAGACTGTCCCGAGAGGCATCATTTCCATAGCATCCAAAATACTTAATTGCGACCATCAAATGAACCTCTACGGGCGCTTTTTTATCTTGCTGACAGGACTTTAGAAAACAGAATTCGTCTGTACCAGGCCTACGATATCAAAGATCGCAGGCCTTGATGCTCGAAAATTTGACAGGAACTTGTCCGATGGCAAGTCGTAGAGGTAGTGAGGCACTTGTGAGGATCGAAGGCCTCGGCGGTTCCTAGGAATGGTGTAGCGAGACGTCTCTACTACGTAGTGTAGCTCCAGTAACATGTCGGTCTCGTCGTCATCATCACTGGCTTCTTGTAGATGAGTACGTGCCGACGCACCGAGCTTGATCAACGGCGGCTCTGAGAGTGCTAAGCTGGTGGTAATTTCTCGCCGAAGCCGCTCCCGGTTTGAGATTCTTGGCATGGTGCCAAAAGCGTTTTGAAAAACGCTGAGAGGTGTGCCTGACTTCTGGAGATCTGAACTGAATGGGGTTGTCAGAGTTAACGATCAGTCATTGGTAAATTTTATGTTCTGAAAAACCTTCTGAACATTAACTCTGACAACCACTAATGACGCTTGCTCACATCTCGAGTACAAGAATGCTTATGCCGCGGCCCCCACGGGATGACCTCAACGCCGTTGCCGTATATTATTTGAAACACGTAATGTCCTATAAGACATCACATCGTTTTGATTTTGATCTTGTATGTGAGCATGGATAGGATATTGCAAGTTCGCTACCTCACCATTTAGTAATATTTCACTTATTCATTAGGAGAATAAAGTGCACAACGTTTGCGCAACCGTTACTTACCCTTGGACAACCCATTGCATTGGGATATCGCGGACGAGTTTTTTTTTTCTTTTTTTGTTTTAACTCGTTCGCGAGCTTCCTCAAAAGCTCTCCGACTATTTTTTACTACTACTGGTACTACATGCAACTGGCCGATACAAATTACAGATCGTTTTCCGTCAGCGCAAGAAGTTAATAAAAAAAAATGAATAGTACTATACTGTTCTTCGATGATAGTCGTATTATACGTCATATACTCAGATATTTGCTATAGCAGCCAAATATATCCAAAACTAATGCTATTAATGATGCATAATCTAGAACTCGGAATGCTGCAGTCTTCCGGCTCGTGCCTGGTTATTATAACTCAGCGGAACAAACGCATACTGCCGTCAGAGATTATTGTTGATTTATTTTTGGACTCACGACTAAAATAATTTGTGTCGTTGCTAAATTGTAAAGGTAGAGCCTCAATCGCAGCAATATATAGGTCATCTCTCTTCGATTATTTTTCGGCGACATACTCCTCTTTCGGCGCGAAAAAAACTCATATCTGTATTTTATGGTCGTTGGACATCTATCCGATCTCTGGTAATGAGTACATTTCATCGCCAATTGCAGAGGGGATTCACGTCATTTTCGTTTTATAGGAACGTGTTTATTCTTCTCTATAACGTGTCGAAGTGGCGGTAGTGAATTATAGGGTCACTGAGAATTTAAGGTATCGGGAGTCGATGGGAGCGAGGCTTGGTAGTTTGTGTGAATAGTAGAAGTAAAATTCGAAAGTAAATGAGATTGAGTTTAGAAAAACTACTCTAACTAACTTGTTCGTGGTTGTCTTACGATGAACTACACCAAACTTAGCCATAATCGACTTCATGCAGAGATGAGGCTGCAAAAGAAAAACATGTAAGTCGGTTGCAGATCGTATGGACAAAGGCATATTTGTGGTATCTCCCGCTCTATCAGATTTATTCTTTCAAACTTCCAAAAACGATTTTGGATGCTACGGAATCGCTGCTATCACTATATGTACACCAGGAGAGAAAAATTGTTTTTTTTTTTGCTACTTCATCAAATAGAGTATTGTCCAGTGGTTCAATCTGGCTGGGACCATGAAAAAAAATTTTTTTTTTGGTTTTGTCTTAGGCGGCTATGAATGAAAACTATAGTTGTGTGTGTGTGTGTGTGTTTTAAATACTTGCAGTGTAAATAAGAAACGCTTACAATGGGTTCAACCTATACTATTAGTGTACACAAGAAACACTTCTTACTATAACTTGGTTCAACGTGTACTATTATTATACAATGCAATTCTTCCCCGTGCTAGCCACGACTTTAGTTGTAGCTTCGTGAGCCTGCTTTAATTAAGACGGAATATACTAATCAAATGCCGAGAAAAGGGGATATGAAGGAATTTGGCAGTTTGCCGACCGCCTTTCTGGCTGTGGATGTACCACGCTGGTCAGAGGTGTTGGGAAAGAATTCATAACCATATGCTTAATAAAATTATAAAATTACGCCATTTCCCACCTTGAAAATATGTACAAGGTGCTCCTACAAGTAGAAAGCTTGGACGTACAACCTAGGAGAATCTCGGTCCCCACGCAAGCTGATACTCCCACGTTAACAGCAAACTATCCACTAGACATTGTTTTTTGCAGTCCAATGGGTGCAACCTATGAAACTATTGCTAAGAGCAGCGAAAACCGATCGGATCCGCTACAACACTTCCTTGCAAGAGAGGCGGCGAATCTACGACGGTGTACATCTTCAGAACAAATAAGAGAAACGGTCACTTTGATTGATGGTCTCGATGTTTATCCGGCTGCTATAGAAAAGTAACTAAATATAACGCCCCTGTAATAGAAAAAAACATGTACTGGAGAGTGTAACGAGTCAGTCCGCTGGGGAGCTCGTCACTATGCTCGCGAACGCAAATACCAAGGTCCCTGATTCACGGGCACCCCGCTCGGGTTTGTTATGGCTACACTGGAAAGTTCTGGTTTTTAAACTAGATTTCTGTTTGATTATTACTGTAGTACTCACAACAACTATTTGTTGTTCGGTATTGACGAATGTCCTCCCAACCTGGGTAAATATAGGCTCTTCTATGGAGAGGCTTGCTTTTGGGGTTGAAACTGAGCGTAACCTCTACGAGGTAGGCACATGAAGAGTCATTGTTGTGTCATAATCAAAGTGATGCTATTATACTTTAGTTATTCTATCTTGTCGTCTAATGGCTTCAGGAAGAATTTCGACTAGAGTGAGAACAAACGCACAGGACCACCAACGCCGTAGATACTACCTTAAATAAAAAAAGGTATATCGCCACAAATCAAAAGATATACTAGGACTAGACCTCTTATAAAATATGATTCACCCAAACAACCAAAACGGTTAGAGCCTATAATCATTGCCAGTATTTGTTTTTAGAAAAGAACAACCAGATAAACACTTTTGCAACCGTAATATCATTAATTGAGTGAATTGTAAAGTTTATATATTGATTGTACATTCCTCGTGAGTTTTTTTTTTTCAGCTGTCGTAACAACGTACTTTCATTTTCCGTATTTTATTTATGATGTTGTACTTAACTGCCAAAAGCCACAGGCATCTAATTTGCAATTTTTGTGCAACGGGAATCAATTATTTAAGTACGATATACCCGATTAGAATAAGGATTCCTACTCCAAAAAAGCATAAATCATTTAAATGTAAGTAATTTCGCGAGGGATGCCTCACTGCATTGGGTTCGACTACTGTATCCCGTAATAGTCTTATGTAAGAGTAACATTGAAGTCTACAGGAGTTATTTCCAAGTTTCTAGTTACCTGAGTAATTTTGGGTTCCTCAGTATAAAAGTATACGCTAGTTTGGGGTTAAATTGATTATATGTTGTCTACCAAGTTGCGAAACTTAGTTGCCGATATCGATTTGGAGACGCGTGCCACGGCATGTTCGGTCTTGCTGCCACGATTCCAAAAACA